GACAAAGCCTCTCACCCAGTTTCACTTCATGGCTTCTAAATACAACGAACGAAGCTTATGAAATCATTAAGCCCTCCCACTCAGCCTCAATGGCAGCGTGCAGAGACTGATGCGTTTAACCGCTACTGGAATTCCAGGGGATAAAAGAGAATGCAAAGGCAGGTTTTTCCAGGACTGTGTCTCCTCTTCCAAGTTTGCCTCTTCTCCAACCACCTCAGTTGGTTTAACAAAGGGCGCTCTGTTCTCCTGCAAGCTTTGCCCCGTTTGGACGGGTGAAAATAAGCACCACTGACAACACACATGAATTTAGGGCATGGACATTTTGGCTGTGTTAGGGACATGAAGGAATTCCACCCAGGAAAGCAAAGACAGAAGATATCTGTACACTCAAAATCATTCAAGACAGTCTGGCCTGAAGCAAATGTAAAAATAGATCAAAGCATTCCACAAACTAAATCAGAAAAAGAACACAGGTGCGAAGCAAAGAAAGATGTGAATGTGAAGGGAAACTAAAGGAAAAAAAAATAATTAAAAACTCCATCCAAATATGCTCTCACTGATTTCCAGAAAAAAAACAACAAAAAACCCCCAGTCAATGGGTAAAGAGCACAATGAAAAGTGAGCAAGTTTAAGCAATGAGTAAAACCTGGGAATTTTAGCTATAAAGGGTAACAGTACTTTAAAACAAATTCAGTTCTTGTTTAATAGGTAATTCCATTATTTCTGTTAGCAATTGATCTGTCAAAATATTTGTATGTTAAATATGTAGTTAAGTGATCTACTGAATTACCTCAACCACCCAGGATGCACAAAGAACACCACTGCAAAAAAACTAGCAAAATAGAATCCAGTGCTTCACCTGTGAATTATGCATTCCTCTTTTATCAATATCTGAAGAAACAGAGCCCAGACAGAAAAATTAACAGTAATTCAAATTTGACACTTTCACAAAAGCCCAGCAGTAATCCTTTCAATTACACTTACGGTATTCTGACAAGAGAAAGGTAATTTAAAGTAGGTATTTAACGGAAGTAGGTGATACTCTCTGCTGACAACACAGGATATGCCCCACACCACAGGGAATGAAAGAAAACATGAATGAGAGAGAACAACCAAGACAGAACAATTCTGATACGGTGACAGGGTCCACAGCGAGAAAATTATCAGCTCCCTGAGGCTGTGAAGTATAAAACCCTGGGTAATACCAGTGTGTACAATACAGTCCCAAGAATAATATGCTATGGTGGCCTGCTCTGTTTTAAGGCAAGGGGAGCTACAAACTTCAGTCAAGCAATCAGAATTGTAAAATCTCCCTGAGGTTACACTTGAAATGTTTCATTCACCTGGTGAAGGCACCGGATCTTTGTTACTCCGAGACTCTCCTGGAGAAGACTCTGTTCTGTTAAACGATCTTGACTCAACAGCAGGCTCAGGCTTTTTACCAGGAATTTCTTTCTTTTTCTTATCTTCTTGCGTAACTGATTTTGACTCCTGCTGCAGCTGTGAACCAAACATGAATAAAAAAAGAAAATGCACGTGGGTATATGCTTAATACATTATTGCAAAATAAACCTTCCACATACGAAAGCTTATCTTTTATGAGACTATTTTCAGATATGACATCATTTAACGATATTCAACCAGTAACGTTCAATTCAGCTGCACTTAAGGGACACAGCTGGAAAAAATAAAACACATCAAAGTTTTTTCCAGTTTTTTTTCCCCACAGTTCAGACACAATAACTTCCAATTAACAAATAAGGAAATTTACTTTGTCATGAAATATATACTGAAGTCTGACACTGTGCTTTGACCCAAGACTCTCAAAGTGCTTCACAAGAAAATCACTGCTCGTTCACAGAGGAGGAACACACAGTCTCACGAGACCGAAACAGCATTTATTTTTTACAGAACGCTTACTACCCTTAGTTAACAGCAGATGGAAAGATAAATCACGGTAACACCCTAGTAAGGAAAAATAAAAAATTTGTTTTGGGAACAGGCTTCACAGGGAAACAAATCAAGTTAATAGAAACTGTCTTTACTGCATCAATTCGTGTATTGCTATCAGGTTAACGACATTTATCTGAATCTCATTTTTGAAACTCAGAATTCCGTTTGTGCCCCTCAATGGAAATAAAAGGTGAGGACTGACTGACTGCATACAAACGAACACTGTAAATTTAAAGGAAAATGCTTCTAAATGTTACTACAACTGAGAAACTTCCATGTTCCTTAAAAAGCAGAGGGGAAAATAAATAAATAATAATAAAAAAATCACTGTGCAAAGCTGAACTTTTACTGCAGAAAGCCTACCTCGGCGACATCTTCCTTTTCCGCCCACAGCGATCGCACGGCTTCGTATGCCTGATGGCTCGCCGAAAGTAACCTTTTCCCTGTTACCTATTTTTTTTCAGAAAAAGCGTAATTTAACAACAACTTTAAAAACACCGAGATACACAGAGCATTTAAAGCGTTTAAATGCCTTTTCTCGGCATGAGAACGCGCTTGACCCCACCTCAAGACATTTTAATCACCGGCCGCTTGACATGTAAGTGCGTATTTCTCTTACATCAAGCAAATCCTAAATAACGTTTAAATTGACACTAGAAATCCTGAGCTTCCCGAGGCAGGTCGTAATGTACAGCCTGATACTCCTACTCATTTCTCCACCTTCCAACCCCAACATTTAAGTCTTCTGACGACAAGCCAAGAAATCCCACTGCCTCTTGAGAAACCGTAATCCCTGCTGGTTTGCATACAAGAAAAAAAAAGAAAGTATCTGTTTAGGAATATAAGATTGCTTAAAGATTTTCACCACAGTAAATGTCTCGCAATATCTTCCTAAATATTCTGGAATTATAAAAAAACTGGAGAAACCCACCCCACCAAAATTAATAACAACTGATTCACAGTGATGGGAAGTTCAAGATTCAATGGTATTTTTTCCACATTTTCAGATAATGTTCCAAAATCTTTCTGTCCAAACTGAAACGGCTGCTTCTGAAGTCACTTTCTGTGTAGGAAAGTACTGTGTGCAAACAATTCTTCCATCCAAAATGTAAAGTATGGTTCTGCTTTTCTACATAAACAGCTGAGCCATATGCTAATCAGGTACAACAACTGCAAGACGACAGTAATTGGAAAATAAGGATTCTAACACGAAATGTAATGGTACAGTATCACAAACTGCAGAGCTATCGAGCCTGGCAAGTCTTTATATTTTATTTACTTTTATTACAGTAAGAAAAAATAATCTTCATTTATTTCAGAGACGAGGATTAAAAATTCAGAGGCTGTATTTTTAAATTCAGGAGTCTTATTAATTTTTTATAGTCACGCAATTAACACCTGTGATACGTTGCATGTTTTAATGAAGTTGCCTGTGAATTCTGACTTTTAATCCCATGATTCTTAGTTCGAGCGAAGTGGGAATGCTACGACTAAATTTACTGTTAATTCAATATTAAAATGCAAGTAAACTTACCTTAGCAACCACGACCGACTGAGCCGGGTAACAAACAGAAATTCCTAAAGTAGTAAGTCCCAACGGATAAACAATTTTCTTAAACCTAGAATCTGCATAAAGCCAAATATTTCGTAATTAGACACTAACAAATTGTAAAGCTAGTTACATAGGGTTTTGCCTATGTTTCAAAAAAGTCTTTTGATGATTAAAATTACTACATGCTACATATCCACCACACCAATACTGAAAATAAGCAAAACAAAAAAAAGCCCCCTACCTTTGCGTGCCAGCATAACGCCAGCCAAGCCCGATATTGTAATGACACCAACTTTTGGAATAAACTCGGGTGGTGGATTCTTCAGGTAAACATAAGCATCTTAGAATTAAAATTTAAAAAAAAAAAAAAAAGAAGAAAAATAGATAAGCATAGCAGCTCAATATTAATCCTTTTATTTTTCACTTCAGAAATAAAGATGAATTACAAATATACAAGATTGGATTTTTTGTTATGAATGAAAACGTCTTTTATTGTCCAGATACATCTCTGCAGGACAGGACTGGACGATCTCTAGAGGTGTCCCTACAGAGAGATGCAGAGATTCTACATATCACATAAATATATTTTATACATAATGTATGGAGGTTACGACTTCTATGATCCTGCGATATTGTGATTTTAAGAACAAAGCTAGAACTGATGGCATGAGAAGTACTGTTTAATGGTCCTTTCTCTCACCTGAGAACAGAAATGAAACCGCACAGGGAATTAAGAGCGCTCCCAGGCTATTTCCCCCAGCCCTGCAGGAAGCATCCCAGCACACTCCCCTTCCACCCTTCCCCATCGAAATAAAATTGGAGATTTCTACGTTGCAAGGAGGAACAACCGAAAACGCTCGGCTCAGAAACACGCGACCTGCCTACCTTTTCCAAATTGAATTGCATCCATTACTCCATTTTTAGCAAAGACAAAAGCATCCTACAAAAAAAAAAAAAAAGTAAAATATTTGCAAAAGTTAGTGTTTCGCTAAAGATAAGGAATACTGATTTGCTCTAAGCTGTGTGCTCAACTAGTTTGCATTACTCCAAATTGGTGAATTTATTTAATTAGAAGCTTTCCTTTACCTAGGAAAAAAAAATTCTGCTATTCTATTATCATTACTAGCATTGCTAAACAATCTCCTTCTTTAGGGGATCAGTGGAAAAGAATTGTCATCTTATTTGTTTGCAGCAAGATGGAATTTGTACCACCAGAGGTCACTGCAAGTCAAATCACGGGAACACTTCACTATGAAGAGCGTGGAAAAGTTTGACAATTTCTTTATAAAAAGAAATTATTTCGGTTTTGCAGTCACTGACAAAATTTCCACAGGCCAACGAATCAGAATTTACAGCAAACGCAAGAAAACATTTTGAGCTCTTTGTCTTTTTCAAATAACAGGGTCTACTTCATTCATAAGAGAAAAATACAAGCAGAAAATCTCACGCTAACAGCCAGGGTAAAGCTGTCGCTCGCCAGCAGTTAAGAGAACGGTGATGGGCATCGCATTTTCTTCGATGCCCAGAGCACTCACTAACAGAGCTGCCAGGTGTTTTTCACAGAGTCAGTGGTAACAGCCTGTTTTAACAGCAGAGGCACTCGGTTTCCTTCCTCAAGTCTGACACCAGGTCTGTGAAGCCAACCTTTGGCTGTGGGAATTTCTTACCTTGCACCACCCGACGTAGCGGCCGGTTTTCTGTCTTACTGAAGAAAATTGCTTCTGCAAGTGACCCGGCTGCTCTTCAATGTATTTTGATTTCAGAGGTGGAGGACAGTAAATTGGAAGCTGTAAAGAAAAGCAAAACCGTACTGCAGGGCGATAGCTTTGCATGCTGATCAGTATTTACACCAAACAGGGGTTTCCAAGACTGCAAATCCTTAGTGCTCCCCCTGACAGCAAACAGAACCTCCGTATTGAATTATATTCCTTCATGTCTACAAACTTACCTGACCCAAGCATGACTACAGGCTCATTCTTCAGAAATTAAACCCCAAAGCACTGTAGACGTTCTCAGGAATAGAATTACCGAGCATGCTAAAAATATCTTTCATTCAGAAAAACCATGAGCAAGCATAGCTGGAAGACACATGCATCTCATCATCAGTAATATTATATTTTTATCTTTTCTGACTTCACTCCAGAAGTGATGTAATAATGAAAACGAGGTAAAACCTCATTAGCTCGCTCTTGTAACACTTCACGTTTTATTTGTGCTATAAAGGTCAGTTACTTCGGAGGTAATGTTTACATATTGCTTAGCAATATATTTTATTCACTGGGTAATACAATTCAGTGGAAAGAGATGCTATTCTGCAAATTCTTCTAGTGTGATTATCGAGACTGACCAACAGTAAGGCTCTTACCTGATTTGGATTCACCAGCTGACCTCTGGGTTCCTTTTCTGTCGCTGCATACACAGTGACACAAGCAAAGGGCAGGGCAGAAGAAACAGCTGCCAGCTTTGCCACCTGGGACACACAGACAAAGAAAGAAAGAGTCTTAATGCAGAAATAAAAATTCCACTCAGTCAAGTCGGGATTTTACTGTTATGTTGTGCTTGGTCAAGTATGGGATTAAACAAGTCACTTGTTTCAAAATCTTTCGCAAATAGTGCACTTCGGGGAAACCTCTGCTCCCGCTGTGCAGCCCCAGGACACGGGAAACGGGTGAGAGAGGGTGGCAATCATCAAAATTCGGGCAACACGACAACCCTCTGTCCGATAACGCTGCTGAGAGCAAAACGACACAGTCTAAGCCACAGAAGATTATCTAGAAAGGGGCTACCCATCCTCAAAGAAAAGTTTGTCTTTTTAAAGCATTAATAAAGGAAATGATTTAAGATGTAGCCTAGCAGCTAGCCTAGTACGTGATGCTAGCAAGACAACACAGCAATATTCAATAGGTACTATAAGGAAAATAGAATTTACATGTGAGAAACCGTGAAAAAGTTGTATCATTCATTTAACAAAAGTGATGGATTCGTTTTAGGAATTCACAGCAGAGTTTATTGTGCTAAATGTAAAAGGGAAAGCTACATCAGGAACGATAAAAGTACTCCAATTCCCGACTGACAGTAATTGCTTTGCTTTTGGACACCTGAAGACAAACGCATAAATGTTTCAAAACCCCAGTGAACAGCTGCACCACCCAACATCTACGCTGGCATAATTATTCCAAGAAGGCTTCGCTCTTCTCTGTTGAAATCACAAAGAAATGAGGTGAAAGACAAGCAACATCACCTTGACTACATAAAAGAGGTTTCAGTGCATCAAGGTGCTCATCCTCTTCCTTTATCTAGTAACTGCGTATATTGAAAATGCCTCAATTAGCTAAGTTGTGCCTTCTTATTAAAATCATTCTATTAAAATTACTTTGAAGGATTATTAAAGAAAATTATCTTGTTTTCAGCTGAAGAAATTAAAAGATATTCTACCTATGAAATCTTCTCAAAGAAGCTACTGAGAACTAAGAAAAGGCAGGATCATGTAGCTATACCAAAGCCTAGGAGAGAAGGACAGAGGAAACCACCCACCACAAGCCTGAGCTGTAAAAAAAATGCCAGAATTACAGGGTCCACCAGCAGAATGAGTCCAGAAGGTCAGCCAATAATTGATTTGAACAAAAAAATGTTCCCTTGAATGAACTCAGCAAATATTTATATTTTTAGAATTGAAATAGTTTAACTCTGCATTTTACTACAAGTTCTGCTTTTACCTGACTGAACGCTCAGGCTGACCTAAGCCCTACGAAACCAAGAAAAGAAAACCACTCAGTCCCTAAGGGCAACAGATCTAAACACCGGCAGGTAAAAAAAGCCACGAGCCCAGATGACACCTTCTGGAGATGGATTCTGCAGGAACACAGACCAAACCATTACCAGAACCGCAGATATTAGAAATCACCAGCCCTAAAATGCTCTGGATGGGAGGGTGGAGGTGGGAAGTGCAAAAGCAAGTGGCAAAAGTTTTCCAGTAATACCAGTGCCATCGCACTTTTTTTTTCCCCCCTATAGGCATAAAAAGCACGTTGGTTATTTCAAAGCACTACCCGGTGCAGCCTAACAGTCACGGCGTTATTTCTGACGAGAAGGCTGAAGAGCCATTATTTGCCGAAGAAATTTATTATATGCTCTCTAGCAGAAAATCGTTACAGCTACGCCTTTTAATAGTAGGGCTAGAGTAAAACTAATCAAAATATAATAATAAAACTGTCAAACGCACCTGGATAATTTTGGCTTTAAGTCTTTGCATTTCAAACAATCCACTTCAAAGTGTGAGAATCTTATCAAAGATCAAAAATACCGTTAAAAAAAAAAGAAATAGCTACATCACTAAAAAGAATTCACAATCTTCAACCCAAAAGATGTAGAATACAACCTAAAGCATAATAAAACCATCTATTTAATTTATGCTAATCTCCAAGAGAGTAAGCGTCGTTTCTCACTGAAACTCTGCAAGTTCTGTAAACTTGCATCAAGAACTGGAGCACAAATGAGGAAACTTGCCCCGAAGGTAGGAGCCAGCCTCAAAATGAAAACAGGTGATCAAAGGAGTAGGCTATACGCAAAACCCAGATGCGCGTACGTATATAAATACACCTTCTCTATCACAAAACCAGAATCTACTAGACAGATTAAAGTAAGATTAAAATTTTAGCAGCTACTGCATGTCATATATTCAGTGGAAAGCTGTTACTTAAGGAATAAGAGGCAGAGGTTTACGATTTTTTGCTACCAATTAGATGTCTTGAGGTAGAAAAACTGTCTCAGATTCTCTTATTTTTCCCAGAAGTTACATGAGACATGACAACTGTCAGAAGTTTCTAGGCCAAATCCAGTATTTTAATGCGGATATGTATGTATTTATTTATAAATCTCTAATGACAACTACAAAAAACCCCGCACACAAGTGGAACAGAGCATCCTTCCACTTCAAGTCAACTTACTGACACTCCGCAGATTTGTTTTTAGTCTTTGTCTGCCAGATGGTAACCCTGGGAGAGCAAAAACTTCAGAAAAATAAGACTCTATTAATTTTTCATAGGCAGTAGTAAAGAATACGCACGAAGTTAAGTCACCTCACTAAAGGTAACTGAATCATTCAAATCCGTGTACCCACTTACGCCACTTCGAGACCACCCAGGCACACAGCACAGCCAAACGCGGTGTCTTTTTTTACGTACTTCTAACAAACTAAGGCAAAACACTTCGTTTTCATTCTTTTGGCTGCCCCCACCTGCAATATCCTCTTCTTTGCAGTTTCATTCTGCTTTGCAACAGTAGATACGAAGATTGGTGTGAGAGCAGCCTACTCCTCAATTTCGCCACGAAACCTGGAAAACCTGTCTCAATACTTCAGAGACAGTCAGCTCTTGAAGGGCACATAATTCCCTGTTTAAGGACATGACGTTATCTCTACAAATAAAGATACTTTAGACACTTGTGACCCTGTTAGTGACGGCGTGATTTTATCATGACCCAGTGACACTACTACGCTTCACGAGGCTACTACCAAGCTACTATCCTGACATTCCACCTCTCCAGTAAGGAGGGGAAGGTGCTTCGGAAGCTGTAAAGTAGATGGAGAACAACCCGGAGGGAAATACTTTTATTTCCCACTGTATCATCGATCTACCCACCCTTTCGAACCAGCTCCTTCGACCCCGAGCTCTGTGGCAGAGAAAATACTGAGGAAACTCTCCCTCTCCTGCTCCACCCTCACCTGAACCGCCAGGTATGGGCTGAAGGGACGTCCCGACTCCGAGAAATTACGCTCTTGCCCCCACCCCACGCCAGGGGAGAGAAGTTGTGGAGCCGACAAGCGGGGAAGGAGCCAACAACGCGGGGCGACC